CTCTAATCTTAATTATTTCTCTTCTAATGCGTGGCTTAGGCATTGCTTGTTGCTTTTTTTCTGGTTCTTTAAGGTGTAAAGTTAGTTGGTGAATTCGGGATTTTTCTTTTTTTTTTGAGTGAGGCTTGGATGGCTATGTATTTCCCCCTTAGGACCGCCTTTGCAGTATCCCATAGGTTTTGGACTGATGTATTTTCTTTCTCATTCATTTCCATGAATTGTTTAAGTTCTTTGGTTTCTTGGTTGACCCAAACATTATTGAGCAGAGTGGTCTTTAGCTTCCAAGTGTTTGAATTTCTTCCAAATTTTTTCTTGTGATTGGGTTTTAGTTTTAAAGCATTACGGTCTGAGAATATGCAAGAAATAATCTCAGTCTTTTGGTATCGGTTGAGACCTGATTTGTGACCCAGTATGTGGTCTATTCTGGAGAAAGTTCCGTGTGCACTCGAGAAGAATGAGTATTCTGTTGTTTTAGGGTGGAATGTTCTATATATATCTATGAGGTCCATCTGGTCCAGTGTGTCATTCAGAGCTCTTGTTTCTTTGTTGGTTTTCTGCTTAGATGATCTGTCCATTGCTGAGAGTGGAGTATTGAGGTCTCCTACAACTAACATATTGTTATCAATATGACTCTTCATTTTAGTTAACAGTTGGCTTATGTAGATGGCTGCTCCCATATTGGGGATGTAGATATTTACAATTGTTAGATCTTCTTGTTGGATAGACCCTTTAAGAATGATATAGTGTCTTTCTGTGTCTCTAACTACAGTCTTTAGCTTAAAATCTAATTTGTCTGATATAAGAATTGCTACCCCAGCTTTCTTTTGAGGTCCATTGGCATGGAAGATTGATCTCCATCCCTTCACTTTCAGTCTGTATGTATCTTTAGGTTCAAAATGAGTCTCTTGTAGACAGCATATGGATGAGTCCTGTCTTTTTATCCAACCTGTAACCCTGTGCTGTTTTATGGGAGCATTTACGCTGTTCACGTTGAGAGTGATTATTGAAAAATACAAATTTATTGTCATCATGTTGCCTGTGAAGACCCTATTTTTATAGGTTGTCTCTGTAAATTTCTGTTCTATATCACTCTTGGGGTCTTTCTCCTTTTATAGAACCCCCCTTAATATTTCTTGCAGGGCCGGCTTAGTGGTCACATATTCTTTCCGTTTCTGCTGGTCTTGGAAGCTCTGCATCTCTCCATCCATTCTAAATGACAGCCTTGCCAGATAAAGTATTCTTGGCTGCATGTTCTTCTTGTTTAGTACCCTAAATATGTCTTGCCAGCCCTTTGTGGCTTGACAGGTCTCTGTGGATAGGTCTGACGTTATTCTGATGTTCCTTCCTCTGTACGTAAGGAATCTCTTCCCCCTAACTGCCCTTAAGCTGGTTTCCTTGGTTCTAAGATTTGCAAGTTTTACTATTACATGCCGGGGCATTGGTCTGTTTTCCTTGATCTTGGAGGGGTCCTCTCTGCCTCTAGGACATGAATGTTTCATTCCACAGATTAGGGAAGTTCTCAGCTACGATTTGCTCAAATATATCTTCTAGTCCTCTCTCTCTTTCCACCCCCTCAAGGTTCCCAATAATTCTGACATTGGAACGTTTCATAGTGTCACTTACTTTTCTGATTCTATTTTCATGGATTTTGAGTTGTTTTTCCCTGGCCTCCTCTTTTTCCTTCTTGTCTATTAATTGGTCTTCTAGATCACTAATTCCTTCTTTTGCCTTGCTTACCCTAGCTGTTAGATTATCTCAATTAGATTGGATCTCATTGATAGCATTTTTAAGTTCTGCCAGTTCAGCTTTCATTTCTGCCCTTAGAGACTATGTTGCCATTAATTGATTTCTCCATTCTAGCTATTGTCTTCACAGTTGCTACCCTGAATTCCATCTCTGACATCTTGGTTATCTCTGTATCCATTTGTAAATCTGTGGCAGAAGTCACAGAAGTCTTTCCTATTTTGGGGGTTCCTCCTCCTAGTCATTCTGTTGAGGGGTAGTTGAGGGAATGTAGAGTGTCCAAATTATTGACTAGAACCCAAGCAAGATGCACCTGTTTTCTAGGGACCTTAGGGTTGGTGGCCTCTCATTCTCCCAGCCTGTCTTATGGGGGGAGGGGCCTGCCACACTGTTACTCAGGCAACCCTGTTTGGGTAGAGTTGCCTTGCCCCTGTGGCAGGGGATGGGCTCAGTGAAAACCAGTTTTTTGGGGCTTTTGTTCTCTGGTGGCTTTCCCTGACGGCTTTCCAGGTCTTTTCCGAGAGTCAGAGCAGAAGAGATCGTTTCCAACCCTCTACCTCAGAGCAGAGAGATCACAGTCTGTTCTTCAGTGAGCTCTCCAGGCCACACTATCTCCGTTTCTGTCTGTGGTGCTATAAACTGCAGCGTCCTGGGTTGTGCACCCCTCCGCAGCGCTCCCAGTCCGTGCCTCCAGGTCGGGCACGGGGACTCATCTCTGCCCTTTGTGCTTCTAAAACTGCCAGCTGCCCCAAATTTGCTCCCGCAGCCCCGTAGCTCCAGGTTTCAGTCTGGGGGGCTGCCCTAAAGTCCTTTCCCCACGCTACTGGTCTGTGAGTCTGTGCCCTGTCCCCAGCACGGGAAGCTATCACTCACCGGCAGTGTAGGAACGGCTCCCTCCCCCTTCCATTTATCCTCTGATATCTGCCTGCAGGATCACGGCTTCCTGCTTCATACCTCGAAACCAACCGCCTGTGATAGTCTGCTTGTAGGGACCCATATCTGTCTTCTTACATCTCAGGCTGATTTTGTGGGTTTTCAGAGTGGTCTGGTAGATATCCAGCTCAATTCTGGGGACCAGCTGGAATAGGATCCCCTACTCCTCCACCATCTTTTCCTCTTCTCTTAACTTTGAAATTTGACTAGGTTTCATTTCACCATTTTTAGCCTTCATACAATGATAAATTTTTGATAACTCAATACCTGACCTAAAGCATTCTAAAGTGCAAAACCACTTTTTTCATTTACATTTCCAAATGAATAGCAGTTAAGAGAAGTAGAAATCAGTTATCCTAATTGAAAATGTTATCTTTTTAAAGTCTGTAAAACTTAAATTTGAATGACATGTGATATTACTGACAATAATATTGCATTTGGGGGAGAGTGTATGGACTAATTCAGACTCTGGATTTGGTGATGACAGAGTCACAAAAAACACATCAAGCATTTCCCACCTTCAGTATCTCTGAATATCTGCTAGGAATTGCTTTTTTGAGCTCTTAGGCTTAGCCAATTTGTCACATCTTGTTTACGCTCTTTAAATAATGCACTTAAAGTTTCTGTAAATTAAATATTTGTTAGCTTCTCTTTATACAGAAAAGTATGTGGATTTTTATTTATATATCAATAGTGTAAACATTTTTAGCAAGAAAAAAAATGTGTTCTTTATTAGGCTTCCAAGACCAAAACCTTAATTTTTCTGTTTTCTTTATTTTAAAAGATTTGTTTTCCCCATCAGATGCAGACCAACAACGAAGAGAGAAACTCAAAAAGGAATTAGCACGAGGTGAAAGGGATTTGAAATTAAATAAAACAGCAATGCAGGCCAATTCTAAAAATAATTCCAAGTCACTATTTAACACTCTACAAAAGGTAAGATAGTATTTTTACCTGTTAAAAGCAAATGTTTCTAAGATATTTCATTAGTGGCACAACCTGACTTTGTGGTAGAATGTTTACTGTAGGTCAGAATCAGTAAACTTCTCGTTTAAAGAGCCAGGTAGTAAATATTTTAAGCTTTTCAGGCCCCACAGTCTCTCACAATTCTTGTGCCCTTGGGCAGTAGCCACAGACAAGATGTAAATGAATGGGCATAGCTGTGTTCCAGTAAAACTATTAAGAAAGACAGTAGGCCAGATTGGCCTCCAGGCTATAGTTTACTGACCCCTGCTCTTGGTGTTTTGTGATACCCTTTAACATCTGATTGAGGACGTTCTCTTATTCTCTTATTCCTAGTTCGCTAAGAGGATTTGTTTTTCCTTTCTCATGAATGGATGTGAATTTTATAAAATGCTTTTTCTGCATTTTTTTGGAAAGGTGGTATCATTTTTCTTTTTAATCTGTGTATGTTGTGAATTATAGTCAAGTTTCTTTTTTTTTTT